CCCCCCTGGCCGCCTGAGCCCCCCCTGGCCGCCTGAGCCCCACCTGGCCTGCACGCAGCGGTTCAAAGCGAGCGGAGTGCCTGGGGCGAGCTCCAGCTTTCGCCCATCAGCGGGGCGCACACAGACGGAAGGAGCTCGGGAGAGGCAGCGGCTCCTCTCTGGCACGGGGCGTGGGGAGAACACCCCGCTCCAGAAGAGCAGGTGTGCATTCACTGCGTGCCCACGGGAGCCGGGAACCCACGGTGGCCGCCCCTGCAGGCGGCCCTGCCGCGGGTGACGGGCCGGCCACACAGGCCCGCAGGAAGCTCGTGTCCCGGGCCGGCCCACGGCTGCCCGTGGTCGTTTCCGTCCGGACCTTCCGCTCACCCCCAGGGCGCTGGAGCTACCAGCTCTGGGCCCCTCTGCTGCTGCCGCTGCTGCGTGCAGTGAAGGTCACTTGCACCCCCTCCCCGCGCTGCCCTTGGCTCCTCGCGGGCACAGCCCTGGCCCCCCCCACCTAAAGGAATCGCGAGCCGCCCGGACGACAAGAACAAGCCAGCACAGCGCCTCATGCCCGCCGGTCACGGGAGAGCGTGGGGTTCAGGGTTCAGGGCCTAAGGCTCCCAGAGTCTCAAAAAGCCAAGAGCTTAACAACTTAACAGGAGAAGCCCCCCCGGGGGTGCAGGGCTTAAAGTCTTGGCCAGGGAGGGGACCCCAGGGCGCAGCAGACCCCTCCTGTCTCCCCACTGCCCCCCTCAGCAGTGGGTTTCAGTGGATCCACCTGTTCTGCTCCCCACTGTCTCTGGGGAGTCCTCTCACCCCACACCTCTGGCCTGCACCCCAGCTCTTGTGAGCATGAGTAAATAAAGAGGGTCCGGCGGCGTCCTGGCCGTCCAGCCGAGGCGCAAGCTTCACTGCGCTTGCGGAGCAGCTTCGGGTGCCCCAGGGGGCCGGGCTGACATGCGGGGGCAGGACCACGTCCACACAGGCAAAGAAGAGCACGCGGGGGGGAGGGGCTCTGCGGGCCTGCGCCCCGGAACACACCCAGGCCCCCTAGCCCACTCCCGGACATGCAGAACCCCCCGCCGGCAAAGACACACTGCAGCTCACAGGGCCCCGCTGAAGCCCCTGGGGCTCCCCGTCCCCAGCGACGCGCTCCGGGGCTCCCCCGCTCCCCCGCCCCCGCGCTCCCACACATCTGGCCGCACAAGGCTGGCGCCGGCCGGGCTCGAACACCCCGGACCCGAGGGCCGCCCTGGCGGCAAAGCAGCAGCCCCCGGGGGCTGAGGGCAGGCGCTGGGCAGGCCAGCTCGGAGCTGCAGGCCACAGCCAGCCCGGCTGCAGGGCAGCTGAGACACTGGCCGTGCCCCGGCCAGCAGGACCCCGTGCTGGCCGGAGGTCCCGCAGAGCCCCATGGCGCCGGCAGCAGTTAGAGAACTCCACGGAGCGGAAAAGATGGGGGGCGGGGGGCGCCAGGTGACAGCGTGCCCGGGGCTCCCGGCCGTTCCCACCCCCCCACACCTCCGGGCCCCCAAGGCACACACGCCCCACAGGCCTAACCTCAGGGCCGCCAGGCGGCCAGGGGCGGGGTGACAGCCGGCACCGGGGGCTGGACCGGAGGCGGGGGTGTCCGTGGGCGAGTGGTGCCGGGCGAGGTCTTCCCCCAGCCAGGCAGGCCTGGGGCGCGGCTCTGCCCCGGCCAGGGCCCCCCCCGCGGTCGGCGGCGTTAGTCAGAGTGGCTGTGGCCTCCCTCGCTTCCTTCTGTTCGTACTCGCACCTGCTCCGACTTGCGAGTGAAGCGACGCGGCCAGGGCCCGGGAGCTGCCGGCACCGCTCGGTCCCGACCTAGGCGGGCCGTCCTCGGGGCAGGAACCCCGGGGGGGCCCGGGCCCCAGACCCTGCAGCGCCGGCTGAAGCCACCCCTGGGGGGCCGAGTGAGGCGACCCACGGCTGACGCCGCCCGCGGGCCCACGGAGCGTGGACCCATCGCCCCGACCGGCGACCCACGGCCCCCACCGGCTCAGATTCCCTCAAGCCGCACAGCCCTGGGGGCAGAGGGCACAGAAGCCGCCTCCCCACCCCTGCCCGGCCCCACCCCGCCCTGGGAATCCGCCCTGGGGACGGGGCAGGCCCCCCGCGCTGCTGGGCAGGGCGCCCTCCCCACGACGCCCCTTTGCGGCCCCATCCCCGGCCTCCGGAGGACGGGACGGCAGGACCGGACAGCACCCACCTGCGTCTCCGCGGAAGGCGCCCTCCTGCGGCGGCCTGCCGGACGGGCTGTCCCCGTCGCTGGGCCAGATCTGCCCCGTCTTGCGGACGCCCACTATGGTGGCCTCGGACACCACCACCTGGCCGGGCCGCGGCCGCTTCTGGCACTGCGGCGTGGGGGGGCTGCTGCTGTCCAGGGACTGCTGGGAGTTCTGCGAGGGGGAGCGGCTCTTGTCGCGGAAGAGGCGGTAGGCGGTGGGGCTCGGGGACACGCGGCCGGACTGGCCGGAGGAGAGGTCCTCCTCGCTGGAGGTGAGGTTCTCGTTGGAGCTGCAGTCCGGGGTGTAGCCGCCGCTGTCCTCGAAGCTGCGCGGGGAGTAGGACCTGCGTGGCCAGGTCAGGCGCCGCTCCTGCTCCGAGGTGCTGTGGCGGCGCGGCGGCGGGGCCCGGCCCTCGGCCTCCCCCATCATGGCCCCGACGTGGAGGCTCGGGCAGGGCGGGTACTCGAGCGGCGGCCAGGGGGGCCGGCCGGCGTCGATCAGGTTGTCCTTGAGGAAGCGGGGGTTCAGCTCGGTGTCCTCGTAGTCGCCGTCGGGGCCGCCGGCGCCGCTGTCCGAGGCGCGCCCCCGGGGAGGCTGCGAGGCCCGGGGCGCGTCCCCCGCGCCCGCGTGCTGGGCCTTCCTGCGCTCCATCTGCATGGCCTGGCTGCCCAGCGAGCTGATGCGCTCGGACACCTCTTTGTCGTTGACCTTCACGAGGCCGCGCTCGTGGTGGAACTCGACGTTGACGTAGAAGGGCTTGTCGGCGTCGGCGGCCGGGCCTTGGCCCTTGCGGCCCCTCTCGAAGTTGGACCTGAGCGCCGCCACGCTGGTGGGGTGGCCGCGGTCGGCGGGCGCGGCGGG